AGATAAGAAGCTCCAGATTTTCAAGGAGCTCTAGGTCTTAAGTGAGTGCGGGGAAAGGTGAGGTTGGCATTGTCAAGGAAGACCAGCTTAAGGTTCATGGATTCTAAAATGAACCTAGGTATACGGAGAATTTCTTGAATAGTTTTGTTCTCTGAATCCAGTTTGGCTGCCTTGTGAAATGATTCTCTCCAGTAAGCAGACTTTTCATTTATTTAATCATTCAGATTTCCATTTACATCTGCATGACTACAGAAAACATGAAGTATGTAGGCTAGTAACACATAAGAAAATTGCAGTAAGATGGTAATGAAACCTTGTATTCATCTTAACATGTTTCCAATGGAAAATGTTTTGTTTTGAATGTTTATTTGTTTATTGTTCAGTTTATTACTTTTCACTTGATTAAATGTTTTTTTGTTGTATTAAACCATGTATGTTGCAGCTTAACAATAAAAATATGAATTTTTTTGTGAGCAGTTAGACTCCCCAATTTAAGCAAGTAAGATACCCATACAAAAAGGTGAGACATGCAATTACAATACCAGGTTTACTATTTTTAGCCTCTTATTTCTTTGCGTGAATAAGTTAGGAGATTGAAATGAAAACATTAATTCTGGCAGTCAAAATCAGTTCCATTCTAGATATATAAAAAAACTGGCAACGGTTGAAATCCTCTCTTAGTCTTTATTTTTCCTGTGTAATTTTTAAAATTATTATTATAAAAGGAGATTGAGATTTGCTGTTAAGCCATTTACTATTATATAGTAACTTTCTGTTAGAAAGGGCTGATGACTGGGAATTTTGTGTGTCCCTTTATGTTTGAAAGGTTGTTTTTTTAACTTCTTTTGTTTTAGTCTATTTAATGTCCTCTTTTGCTCCTTTCAACAAACATTAATTGCAAACCTATATAATAAGCAGAGTACTAGGTACTAAGATTATGGAAAACCTTAAAATTTTCCTACTGCTGTGGAAGGCAAGTAGTGGCTGCTTACAGCACATAGGATATGTTTTCTGACAGATGTAAGAACCAGGTGCTGTGGAAAATATAAGAAGGACATCTGAGTCAGATTTGGGGCTTGGAGTCTTCCCATATAAGTTGATGTTGAGTTTTAAGGCAGAGAAGAATGCATAGGAATGATATAAAAATAGACTTGTCTACTCTCTTTAGCCTTAACCTCAAAGTTCCACACAGTCATTGAGTTTGGTTCATTTTCAGAGAAGATGCTATTTTTCCTATTTTCCAGTGTTATGCTTTAATCTGTTTTAGTTGCTAATAGTAAGTGAAGTAGATTTTTTTTCAAAATATAAAAGTAATCATTTTATTTAAGGGGAAATTTTTCAGGTGAAAAGAAAAGTGTTGGTAGAATATATACCTTCCTGTGCTGAACTTCAGTTTATACTTGGTCTTATGGTGTTTATAGTTAAAGAAAATTTACATACCTGTATATAAACACGTATGTAATGTGTGTATATGTGTGTTCATATCTCCTTAGGAATTGCTCTCCGATCTAGGAGTTTATACCCCATATAGTAATTGTCTTAAAGGAGAGGAGTCTAAAATTAATTATGATTTATACATATGCCATAATTGAACCCCCAAAATTTGCAACTAAAGTTCTTTTAACGGCCTGAGCAAAGGTGAGGGTTATGTGCTAGCTAAGGTTGTGAAGCTTCCAGAACTAGCAGAGATGGACCAGGGCCAGGTGCTGATGTTCTCTTAGATCTTTATAGTTTCAGATCTTGGCATTTGCACACTCACAAAACCCCATTTCTTTGGGCATTGATGCTCTCTAGATACCTCACCTTATAACCTTTCTCATTTTCAGACAACTGGGACATTCTCCTTTCTTAAGTGAATCCCTTGCTATAGATTTAGTCATCCATTTCACCTTAGCTCCTGGCCTTGGTTACTTCTGTGGTTCACCCACAACCATGGCCTTGCATTTTATTCATCTTCTCATCTTTAGTGATTGTCTCTTATCTTGAGAACTTAGTCTCATAGTCACATTCTGCTCCTTGTCACCCAGACTGATTCACTTGTGAAGTTACCAGTTCAGGCTGGTCGCTGAACATATAACTTCCTATATTTCTGTGTGTCTTAATCATCTGCTTCCAACTTATATTTAACAGCATTTCCCATCTATATATTTGTTTACCAATCTTTAAATTTATTTTCTCTCTTTATCATGGTATCAGTCTTAAACCTTTCTCTTGCCGGTGTTCTCTAATTCTTCCCCAGCTGCTTTTTTTCTGAAACCCTGCCTGACAGAAATCTCACTCCTCATTTGTCCAGCTGAGCACCACTGGATAAAATCCCATAGGCAGGAACAAGCACTATAAGTTTATTGATATCAACCTCAAATGGACCCACGCAGTTGTGCTAAACTTCATTTTTTTCTGGTCCTCTCATTTTTCACAGAGATTATTTTAGGCATTCGTCATTCTGTTCACATCTCTAGCTTTCCACTTTCTTTCTCACTATCAGCAGACGACTTGGTATTCCATTTCACAGACAGTGGAAATCCTCAGACGAAACTCCCACAGTTTTCTACCACCAATCCTACAAACATATTTACATCTGCATTCATTTTGGTCTGTTTGTTTGTTTGTTTGTTATTGTTGATAGTGGGAAGAATTTCACTTTCAAGGAGTGGAAAAAAAATATGTCTTTAGAAATCAAGTGGTTAATATAGATATGTGAAGCAATAGGGTAAGGAGTGGTTCTAAGGCTTATAGCAAGGACGTCAAACATCCTTGATATCTAAGGACATCAAACTTAAGTTTTTAATATAGGTATACCTCGTTTTATTACGCTTTGCTTTGTGCCTCACTGATTTTGCATTTTTTATAAATTAAGATTTGTGGCAATCCTGCATTGAACAAATCTATCAGCTCCATTTTTCCAACAACGTTTGCTTACTTCATATCTCTGTGTCACATTTTGGTAATTCTCACAATATTTCAAACTTTTTCATTGTGATATTTGTTATGGTGATCTGTGACCACTTATCTTTGATGTTATAAGACTATTATAATTGTTTTAGGGTACCACAAACCACACCCATGTAAACCAGTGAACTTAACTGAACAACAAAACCTGAATGACAGCATATCTGTTTATAACATGGTTTACTGAATATTATGTCATTGTTTAGACCTGCTGCTCAGAAAAAAAGATTCCTTGCAATATATTTCTACTCATTTGATCAACCAAGAGCTCAGATGGAGATGTGCAATGAGAACAATGTTGTTTTCATGCCTGCTAACACAATATCCATTCTGCAGCCTATGGATCAATGAGAAATTCCGACTTTCAAGTCTTATTATTTAAGAAATATATTTCTTAAGGCTATAGCTGCTATAGATAGTGATTCCTCTGATAAAGCTGGGCAACGTAAATTGAGAACTTGGAAAGGCTTCACCATACTTGATGCCATTGAGAAAGTTCGTGATTCATGGGAAGAGGTCAAAATAACAACATTAACAGGAGTTTGGAAGAAGTTAATTCCAACCCTCGTGAATGACAGCGGTGAAAGTAGCAAGAGAACTAGAATTAGAAGTGGAGCCTGAAGATATGACTGAATTGCTGTAATCTCATGATAAAACTTGAATGGATGAGGAGTTTCCTCTTATGGGTGAGCAAAGAAAGTAGTTTCTTAAAATGATGATGGAGTACCCTCCTCTGTAACCCTATAATAAATATCATAGTAACATTCTGTTCTCATGGAGAATATCAGTGTGGAAGAAGAACATAATACTATACCAAAGTAAAACACATCGAATATAGTTTTCTTGTCTAGCCCTTTGATAGAAATTTGGGGGCCAAGATTTCAAAGTTGTGTTTGATAGTTTAAAAAGGACAAAAACAGTGTCTTACTCATCTTGGTATCTACAGTGCCTATCCCAGGACCAGTCACATAAAAATAATTCACTCAGTATTTGTGGAATGAATGTGACCACACTTAGCTGGTCAGTGACTTGAGAAAGAGTGACTTGGGACAGGATATATTCAACATGACAGGTTCTGGGGTGGAGTTGACAGTTGCTTGCAAGATCTGATAAGTTGAAAGAAAAATAAGTAGGAACTCCCATCATTGTGTCATGTTTTTCCTCCCTATTTCTGATTCATTTATTTCTTAATTTGTTCAAAAACATTTATTTCCTTCTTACTCTATACCAAATAATGTGTAAAGTGATGGAGATCCAGTGGTGAATAAGACAAAGATGTTTACATTCTGGTGAGGTATATAGAAAATTAATTTGATGGCACAGTGAGATTCGTGCTCTGGAGGAGGCAAGTAATCAGATACTATATAGCTATTCAGACAGTAAGAACAGGTTAGAGAAAGCCTGGTGCATTTAGAGAACTTCAGATCTTCACTGGTGTTAGAGGGTGAAGTGTGAACATGAGAAATGGTGAGAAATGAGGCTCGTAATAAGCAGGGCCAGGTTGTGATTTTAAGGTTTTCACTTCTACGCCTCTCCCATACCTCTCCAATTCCTTTCTACTGGTCTGGCGAGTAGAGGGAGCATCAGGGTAGAAATATGTTCCAAGTACCACGATTTTTTTTTTTTCTGAATATCACCACTGACACTGCATAATTAATATCTTCACTAACTATGTCATTGAAGACATTTGATATTCAAGTGGTTCTTTGTCTCTAAATTATGAAACTCTTCAAGAACAGAGGATGTTAAAAACATCATTTGGCATTGGTAGTCATTTTATGTACTATTCTAGTAACCAAGGCATGGTTGTACTATTTTTTTTTTTTTTCTGTGAAAAACAGAGCTCAAGTTTTAAAAAACTTTAAAAAACTACTATGTGATTTATGATTACCTTTGAGTAGAGAAAAATTACTAGGTAGAAAAATTACTAAGTAGAAAAATTGAGGATTTTTTTTTTAATTACGAGGATATTCACAGCTTAACAGAACTCAATACAGAATTTGGTCAGGTATGTTTAGTTTGACATGTTTTATTATTGTTTGGGTTTATAGACTTATGAGGAAGATCGAAGAAACTACTCTGAGCTTCAAATTAGATGTCAACGTTTGGCCTTAGAATTAGCAGACACAAAACAGTTAATTCAGCAAGGTGACTACCGCCAGGAGAACTATGATAAAGTCAAAAGGTAAGTGGTTAAGATGGCTACAGTAGTTTTTCTTATTTTTAGTATGCATCAAAGTCATCTGAATTTTTACTATCGACATTGTTAATTCTGCTTTGTACAGTCGTGTGCCACTTAACCGGGGTACATTCTGAGAAATGTGTCATAGGGCAGTTTCATCTTTGTGCGAACGTCATAGAGTGCAAACCTAAATGGTATAGCCTAGTGCTGTAATTGTATGCACTATACTTTCATACAACTGGCAGTGCTGTAGGCTTGTTTATACCAGCATTACCACAAACATGTATATGTTGCGTTAGTATGTATGGGTTTGATATCATTGGACAAGAGGAATTTTGTAGCTCCATTATAATCTTATGGGACTCTCATCGTATATGTGGTCTGTCGTACCAAAACGTCTTTATGTGCCATATGACTATACCTTATTCTATTTCTGTCTCCATGTCTGGAGTTTTGACTTCTCTAGAATGTCATATAGTTGGAATTACACAGTTTACAGTCTTTTCAGACAGGCCTCTTTCAATTAGTAATATACATTTAAGTTTCCTCCTATCTTTTCATGGCTTGATAGCTTATTTCTTTTCAGCACTGAATAATATTCCATATCTAGACTTTCCAGTTTATTTATCCATACACCTACTCAGGGACGTCTTGGTTGCTTTCAAGTTTTGGCAGTTATGAATGAGGCTGCTATAAATATCTATGCACCAGTTTTTGTGTGAACATCAATTTTCAACACCTTTCAATAAATACCAAGGAACACGATCATACAGTAGGAGTATGTTTAGTTTTGTAAGAAACTTCGAAACTTTCCCAAAGTAGCTTGTACCATTTTTCATTTTCATCAACAATGAATGAGAATTCCTTTTGCTCTACGCACATGCCAGTATTTGATGTTGTCAGTGTTCTGGATTTGGGCCATTCTGTTAGATGCTTAGGAGTAACTCATTGTTATTTTAATTTGCATTTCTCTGATGACATATGTTTGGAGCATCTCTTCATGTGCTTATTTGCCATCTGCATGTCTTCTCTGGTGAGATAGCTGTTAAGATTTTTGGTTCGTTTTTTAATTGGGTTGTATGTTTTCTTACTGTTGAGTTTAAAGAGTTCTTTGTATGTTTTGAATCACAGTCCTTTATCAGATATGTCTTTGGCAAATATTTTCTTCCAGTCTTTGGCTTATCTTTTTATTTTCCTGACATATACTTTATTCTTCATTACATAGAAGTGTAGAGTTTGGGCACTTTGTTGGGTTTAAATTGTATTTTCATATCAATCGTTTTAATTTTATTTAGAAGTTGCTGCTGTCTTTTAAAAGGTAATATCTTAGAAGCTAGGAACCCAGTAAAATCCCATGTATATACATATGTTTTAAATTTTACTTGAAGATTATTTTTATTTTATGAAATCAATTTAAATACTTGATAGTTTTATCTGAAGTTTTTTCAGCTATTCCTTTCTGACAGAAGGCACACACACTTTCAAAAACAGTCGCTGCTTAGCAGCTATTGCAAATAACTTTCCTTTTACAGGAATATGCTTTTATGTTATTTGTGCATTAATGAACCACTCCATAACTGTATGTGCCTAGGTAAATCTCTTATCCATTCTAAGCCGAAGTTTTGTCATCTGAGATAGTGCTAATACAAATAACTGCACTATATAAAGTAAGAAAATCAAAGAAAAATTTATGAGATCTTTATTTATAAATTTGCACAGAGAGTAAGAAATATCACCCTAATTATTCACTGCTATATCTGCGTCAACTACAATAATTCTTGAAATATACTAGTCACTCAGTGAATATTTTTTTAATGAATGAGCACCATAAATTGTATAATACAATAAGTAAATCTGCAAAGATTTGGGGATATAACTTTTGTGCTCCTACTCCCAGCATGACTGACATGCAATATTTATTATTGTGTCAATATATAATAATTACTGGAGCTTGAAATCATGAGAGTTCTACTCAATGCACTCTTAAATAAAACTAGATTTCAAAAGACTCATTTTCAAAATGAAGCAGATTATGATGGTAAAATAATACTTTGAGTTGGTGTTTTGATGTCTTCTCTACCACTATAAATGTGTAGTAATAACATATAAATTATGAGAAGAGAAAACGAAAAAGCATAATCATCAGAATAATGCAGAGTGGCCATGAATTAAAGTTAAATGAACTAAGTTGAGTCATGACTTGATAATTTTTGAAGCCAGGTGATAAGAGCACAGGGGTTCATTATAGTGTGTGTGTGTGTGTGTGTGTGTGTGTGTGTGTGTGTGTGTGTGTGACTGACTGTGTGGGAGGGGTATTTTCTATAATGAAAAACGAGGAAAGAAAAAAATGTAGCCCTGACCAAAAATGTGAACATCTTCATGTGCTAGAAATGGAACAGAAAAACAAACAAGCAACAGGGGCTCAAACTATAAATCCTTTGGTTCACTCAATAGAAAAAATGGATTTAAAGAAAAAAGGATCTGGTCACAAAAATATAAAATAAATTGGGGAGGAAAATCACTTTTCTGTTCTTCATAAGTTCTCACAAATATGCAAAAGGAAACGGGTATGGATGTTAACTGCATCATTACTAGAAAGAATTCAAATGCTTTTCAACAGCAGAATAGAAAATAAATTGTGATCTATTTCTATAGTGTAATTCTGTGTAGCAGTTAAAATCATTAAGATAGTTCTGAATGTATATGGATAAGTCAAATACATAATACTAAACTTTAAAAAGCAAAATGCATGAGTCTATTTTTTATTTTTTAAAGCAGCTTCTTAACTTTATGGCATAATATAAGGTTCTCAGGTTTATTTTGTAATTTCATTGCGTTAGCCCTTTCTCTAAGGTGTCTTGGTTTATTATAGTGGGGAATATTACTCAGATTATTAATATCTGGGTACTGGTCATTGTTTCTAGGTCCTTTCAGTAGGCAAAGGCAGTGAGGGAAGAGGGAAGATGGCTTAACACACTATGGATAAGAGCGTACTTAATTCCAATTCAGCATGATAATAGCTAGTTTGAAGGGGCTCTGACTGGCCACATGTGGCGCAACTTAAATATCAAGATGAGTATTAACAAAAATGAGTTACTTAATTGAATAGAATAAGAATTTTTAAGTACATGCTAATAATAAACGTGAGCTTTATAGAATGCAAACCAGTAAATATATATGCACATTAGAATTATCATTTTCTAACTTCATAATACTGTTTAATCCAGAATCATCAATGGAAGCTAAAACCATTGGGTAAAAGTATGTCAGGGAACAGAATATTTATACAATTTCAGAGTATGTCACCACCGATTACTTATTAATTGCAAAAGACAAAACGGTACCTTTATAGAGAACTTTGGCAGATACCACATTGAGCAAATGATCAAAATCACTATCACCAACCATGGGATAAAGTAACACCATGTGCCTCTTTATGTGCTATACTGAGAACACATTGTCACTTATGTGATTCTCCTGCCCAAAGTGCTGAACTTGGATCTAATCATAAGGAAATATCAGACAAATGAAAATTGAGCGACATTCCATAAAACTGTTGGCTTCTGATCTGTAAAAAAGTCGGTGTCGTACAAGACAGTGAAAGGCTAAGGAACTGTTCAAGGTTAAAGGAGACCAAAGACTCATAACATTCAGATGCAATGCATGATAATACATTGGATCCTGGAACAGGGAAAAAATTTCCATAAAAGACATTTTTGAGACAAGACAAAAATTTGAAACTAGATTATGTATTAGATATTGTATTAGGGCTAAGTCTCCTGAATTTGATAATTATACTCTGATTATATAAGAGAATATATTTAATCTTATGAAATTCACAGTGAATTTTTTAGGAATAAAGGGTACTAATGTCTACATATAACTCAAATAGTTGAGAGGGGAAAAAATGCACGTTTGTGTGTATGTTTGTATATATATATGTATACGTATATGTATCTGTATGTATTCATATATATTCATTTACAGATAGAGACAACAGAGACTATGACAAAATAGTAAATAATACAAAGTAAATATGACAAAATGTTAACAGTTGTTGAGTAAAAGTAAAAACATATATAGAAACACTAAATTCATCAGTTTATCTGGGAAACGATATAGGCATAGTGAGGAAAATATAGGGAACTTCAAGTTTATTCATAGTATTTTATCTTTTTAAAAAACAAAACTTTAATGTTAATATAAACATGGTAACTTATGTCAACTATAGATAGCAAGTTCATGAAACTTTTTCTATATCATACTTTCTAATTATTGTTTACAAAAAAAATAGTACAGGGAACATGATCATTACCTCGTAAGAATAAAAACGTTTGTATATAAAAGCGCAGAATACTCTGTACCAGAGTATTAATACTGTTAGACGTCTTTAGTAAGTGGGTTTATGGATGATTGTTATGTTTTAACTTATCCTTTGCTCACTTTTCTTCAGTATATATAATACTTTGTTAATCAGAAGAAAAAAAAAAGTATAAATGAGTTACTGAATAATGAAACAAAAATAAGTTTTAATAGCCCTCTCCATGGAAATGCCAGGTCAGTAGATGAAATAAAGTACAAAGGAACTGATTCTGAGTGGAGAGTTTAAGAGTAAGTAAATTTATTTCTCTGCTCATTTTTTAAGAAACCTGTTGTAGGTGTGGTCCACTCCTTGGTTTTTACTGTTTAGGAGAAAGAGCTGGTCTCAATATGGAAAGTAGAATCTCTGAGTAATCAGAACCAATTTGTGAATGAAAGAGTCACAAGAATTCCTGCCTGTGTGTCTGCTGGCTACCTGAGTGATGAGTTAAGGCCTTTATGATATCGAACTGAAAGCCTAGAGCCAGGTATAAATTCTTTAAAAATTTTGGCTTCAAGATAAGATTGAAGATGATTAGTGAAAAGATACCATATTGTGCCTTAGAAAGTTTTATTATTTACTTTACTGACTAGTGTAGTTTGTGTATTTATTTTTTAAAGATGATAAATTCATATGTATGTATCTGAACAAGGTCCTTCTAAATTTGAAGGACCTTGTTTATTGTTTATAGAATGACGCTAAAGCACCACTGCTAGTATCTCTGTTCAGTTTTCTGTAACATAGTCAACAGTTTTTAAATGTTCATTGTAAAAAGGGCTATAAAATTTACATATGTATTTGAATTTTATTTTACTAAAAAATGTATTTGAATGTTTTAGTGAACGTGATGCACTTGAACAGGAAATAATGGAGTTAAGAAGAAAACATGAAATACTTGAAGTCTCTCACATAAATCAAGCTAAAGAAAGAAATGAATTATCAAAAGAGGTAAGCTTATAGAGTCACTTGTATTTTATTGTACAGTGTGATTGTGGACATAGCCCAGGGCAGAATTGTGGAAGGGACATTGGTTTCTTTTTGATATAGTTGCCAGGAAGAAGGTACTTTTAGTAGCGTTTGGATGAAAAATTGCAAGGTAAGAATGAGCCCTTTGTATGAAAGAAAACAATACAGTAAACCTTGAAAAGTAAGAACACTCTGTCTCTCTGTGTATGTAGGTAGCCAACTTAGAGCAGACTGTTACTTTACTACAAAAGGATAAAGAATATCTCAATCGCCAAAACATGGAGCTTAGTGTTCGCTGTGCCCACGAAGAGGATCGCCTTGAAAGACTTCAGGCTCAACTTGAGGAAGCCAAAAAGGCTAGAGAAGAGATGTATGAAAAATATGTAGCATCCAGGCAAGATTTTCATTGTTTTCCATATAAATAGATATAAATTAACACTAGCTTCTTTGAGGGAACTCCTGGCTTTGGGGAAGAATAGCGATTTTTTCCATATCTATAAGATGATGTTAAGATGATAGTTCATTTTGTTTACTTATAAGATATTCTAATCGATTTTTTTTCTTAACATGTTGTGATTTTTCCAACAACCAAAAGCCTATTTCTTTTAGGTATTACTATTTTTATTTTTTTTTCATTACGACATAACCTTTTTAATTCCCTATAACTGACATCGCTACATAAGTATTTTTGAAAGAAAGGGTATAAAAGTATCTCTATAGAAGTATCTTTTTAGAAAAAAAAAACTAATCTAATCCTGTGGAGCCTGATTACTCTGACCTTTTCTTAACTGTGCGAAACATAAAAGGATGAGGAGACAGCACCGCATACTGTTTTAAGGCACAGGCTCTGGAATCAGATGCCTGCATCTCAATCCTGTCTTCTCTCCAACTGGATGTATAAATTATTAGAATTCCTTTATACTAATAGCCCTTATAATCCTTCAGTTATTTATTTTTAGCAGCACATCAAAAACTAAAACAAATTCTAAATTTTATACTTTAAGACTTCACACATTCATAACTTTTTCCCTACCCTGTGGCATTTTCATTAGCTTGTACTCCTGCTAATGCCTTACGTAACGCTCTGACTTTGCTAAGAGATCACAATGGCTATGGTTGTGCTTAGAAGGAAAGGTTTTGTAGAGTCAATGAGAATCATTTTTTTAAAATATTTGTCAATCTGTAACATACCAGATTATATTTCTAGATGAAGGACATTCCATGTGCATCAGTTTTCAAGTCTGTAGCCATATACATTAAAAACTATCAGTAAAAATTTTTGAAAATCAATAATTATTCAACATGAGTTAACTTTTTGTGTCGTAATCAAGCCTTACAAGCAAACTTTAGATGGAACAAGTTTGGAATAGTATTTTTAGAAACTATAAAACTTTATATCTAATAGCTATGTCTTTCAAGTAACATTGTATTTAGAGCATATTTGACATATTAGAATCTTACATGAAAGGCAAAAACTTCTTTCTTTACCAAAAAGAAAATTTATGGATATTCTTTTTGATTCCTTGCAGAGACCATTATAAAACAGAATATGAAAATAAACTATATAATGAACTGGAACAAATCAAATTGAAAACTAATCAAGAAATTGATCAACTTCGAAGTGCCTCTAGGGAAATGTATGAACGAGAAAACAGGTAAAGAAAAAAAAAGGAAATTTGAGTAATATTTCTGTTTATTTGAAGCTTATAGTTTTTTTGAAATTAAACTATTTCTGTGACATAATATCTATTTTAATACATTAAATAAAATTTGCAATAAATCTAAATATAATGGAATGTTAAGTTCTAAGGTCTTCGATAACTAGGTTAGAACAGGGTTTATTGGGCCTTAGGCCTCTTGACTCTGGTGTTCCCATTCTCCCTTTATTACCTGGTAACTTGTCTTTCTGCCTTTAGCTCAGTTCAGATCGAGGACAGAGATGAAAAGGAAATTGGAAAGTACTAACAGATCAGTACTTCTGCCCTATAACTGTGCCTAAAATCTCCAGGAAATTTTTAATAACTAGAATAATAATATGAAATATTGCATATGCCTCATTTAGTTGCTGACTCTGAAAAACATCATGTAAGATCATCTCGAAGGAGAATTTTTTTTTTTTTTTATGCAGTTACTTTCAGATATGTATATGTTAGGTTCCTTTAGTGATTAGCAGTATTAGAAGAAAGTAAATTCTTCTTATTTCAATAACAGTTATTTTTATCTACCATCATTATAGTTCATATGGCTTTTGAAAGTTTATATTGTGAGAAATTATTTGGAAATTGACTTAATCATCATAGTAGTTTATAAGCACTGATTTGAGTATATGATATTTTGATTTTTGTCAACAAGCAAGAATTTAAATCAGACTAAGGTTGATGTTAGAAAAGTTTACATCTGAGCTCTCAGAGCAATAAATTCACTTATTTAGCAAATATATTTTGAGATCCACCATGTGCCAGATGCCATAGATAAAGTGGAGGCTCTACCTTTACAAAGCTGGAATTCTAATGGAAAATAAAAACAAGTAAAGAAAAAATGATAAGTATGCTGATAATGGAGAAAACAACAGGATATACAAGATGTGAGTACATAGACTCAAGGTGTTTATAACCCAGCCTTGGGAGAAATCAGGGAAGACTTCAGAGAGAGAAATACCTATGCTAACACCTACATGATGACAAGACTATGAGTTAGAGGAGGGAAGGAAATTGGGGGAATAAATGTATAGTGTGTATAAAAACCTTGGAGGCAAGACAAAAATGAAGCTTTCTAAACAAACAAAATAATTAAGTAGGGCAAGAACATAGACTGAGGGGGAGGGAATTGTAAGAGGAAACCGATCCAAATCAAGACTAGTGGGGAACAACTGAAAAATTTTAAGAAAATGCACGATATCATCTGATTTTATATAAAAAGACCACTATGCAATGTGGAAAATAGATCAGAGAAGTATAAGGCTATAGACAGGCCACTTTTAGAGTTTGTTTCCATTATCAAGATGAGAAGGATGATGGAATTAATGGCAGTAGAGATGAAGAGAAATGGGCCAGGCCAAAACATGTTCAGGAGGTAGAATCAACAGGATTCATCACTAGATTGGATTGGAGAGTGGTAAGAATTTACGGATTTCACAGGTTCGTTCATTTGTCTGTCTTTCCATCCTTCCATTCTTCCTTCCTCCTTTCCTTTCTCCCTCCCCTCTTCCTTCCCTTCAAGTTTCAGGGGTACAACATCCGTATGCACTACAAAGTGATCACCCCCAAAAGTCTAGTTAGTATTCATCATCACCAGGTTTCCCAGTTGATCAGCTTTGTGGATGGTGATGCAGTTTTTAAAACATTAAGGGAAAAAAGACTTTAATCGGAAAACATGATAAATTTAGTTTAGTTTTATTTGAAATCCTGAGATATGCACATAGAAAAGTTGACTACATAAGGTTCTGAATCGCAGGAGAAAAATGTGGACATGAGCTAGACCTGTGGCACAGGTGATACTATTTCTGTTTTACAAATACATACTTTTAGTCCTGTGGTTCAATTCTATTATGGATTTTATAGCTTTTATTGACTGAGGTAATAGCCTTAAAATTTATGGACTTATTTTCATGACAACATGCATGATTATTTCCAAACAATTCATATAATCACAAACTTTGATATGTATGCATTTTGAGAATTTCCTGATTTTTCAGTTTTTATTGTTGCCACTGGGTTTTTTCTTTTTAATTCTTTAAAATGCATCCCATTGTAACATAAATTTAGATAAATTAGCCCCCGTTCTCTAAAATGGTTAGTAGAGGTAGGTTGGGAAACAGCTGACAGACCCATTTCTGGAAGCTGAGAAGCTGAAAGCAGGTTTCCTTTTCTCTACTGTTGTTCTGACTCTATATCTACATCAAAATGGATGCCACCTAATCAGGAGATTCCTGGAATTAGGGCCACTGTCCTGAAAGCCCCAGCCAGCCACAAGACCCAGAATGCCCCCAGTGGATTTTGACGCTAGAGTGGACTGTTGCCACCAGGTGGTGCCAAACTACAGCCTGGGCTGAATGATTTTGAATTGCAGGGCGACTCCTAGCCAGCTAGTGTATAAGCTCACCTTTATCATTTTATTAACCTCACAATAATACAACCCTGTATGTTGTGTGGCCGAATCTTTCTGAATCACAGTTTCCTCATTCTGGCAGGATTTAACTATAGTCAGAGTGTATGTCCTACTAATCTTTTACGGTTAAAATAAATTGTAAATTACTTTTTTTTTTTGAAATCTTACAACTTAAAATAATTTTAAAAAGGATCTTAGTATTCCATGTTGTAAAACAGAAGATTCAGAAAACAAAAGTTTACATTTTTAGATATTTTTATGTCTGGACAGATTAATCACTTACTTTGAACTTAGGTGTATAATTGTGTCATGTACTTATATTTTATCAAGGTGTGCTGTTACAACATGAAGTGAATAGATGAAGTATTTACACTTGCATATTTGTGCTTAGTCTCTTTACCTCTCCCCTAATAAACATTTTTAGCAGAAAGTTAAATAAGATTAGAGAAATTTGGTTTGCTTTCTATATTTGGGGGGATGGTAAGAAAATGCCTTTTATTTTCTCTCAAATGTAGAAAAGAGAGATGAAACTCATGCCATCCGTATTGTTTTCTGCCCGTGCAGTCAGTCATACCAGTAGTTTGTAAAGTTAAGGGATTGAGAGGGAAGAGAAAGAGAGCAGAAGAAATAAAGACTTGAGAAAATACAGAGATAAGCAAAGAAGGAACTTGTGAACTTGGGTACATTAAAAATGCTGTGTAGTAGTCTCCCCTTATCCACAGGAGGATGATATGCATGACCACCAGTGATGCCTGAAACTGTGGATTGTACCAAACCCTCTATATACTATGTTTATTCCTATACGTACATTCCTTTTCACTTAAAGGAAGCACTTGACAGCTTTGCTTTGGTGTATCTACATTGCCAGCATCACTACTCTTGCCCTTTGCGGCCATTGTTAAACAAAAGGATTTCTTGAACACCAGCGCTACATTTCCACAGTAGTGGATCTGGTAAGTAACTGGGTGACTAACAGGCAGGGGAGCACGTGCAGCAGGTAGACACTGCACAAAGCGATGGTTCATGTCCCTGCAGGATGAAGCAGGACAGCACAAGATGTCATCATGCTCCTCAGAAAGGCATACAATTTAAAGCGTATGAATTGTTTATTTCTGGACTTTTTCATTTAATGTTTTCAGACTGCAGTTGACTGGGTAACTGAAACCACAGATAAGGAAGGACTACTGTCGTTGAAATTATAACGTTTGTGTATGCTTTGGCTCAATCTGTGAGTTAGGTTTCTTGTCTTTTTCTGTACTTTATCGTTGCTTTACAATGCCATTTGGAGCTATGGGAAATGAGGAATGAAACTCTAGTGTTGAGATTTGTTTTATAAATAACTTTTTGCTTAGTAGGTATTATGTGACTGAACTGTACAGACCCTCTCATACATTCAAAGGAAAAGCATTATTCCTTGAACCGCGAGTATATCATGAAGGAGGTTTGGAGCAAAAGGCTAAACTTAAATACCGGCTCTACCACTTTATTAGCTGAATGAATATGTCACTTAATATCACTGATGTTTAATTTCCTCTTACATAAAATGAACTAATAATACTGTTTCAAAGAGTGACCTGTAAGATTTAAATGAAAGAATATATGTGCAAAGTACATTATAAATTATAAAATTGCATATATATATATATATATACATATAAATGGTAGTTATTTTGATACCTTTTGCCTGTGTGCAATAGTTAATTCTTTTATTCATTGTGTTGACAATTTAAGTAAAATGAGCATTATATAAAATTCAACTTATAACATTATGGAGTTGTTTATCATCATTAAAAGGCACTATTACAAATATATAATTATTCTTCAGTATTGAAGAATCCTAATTAATACTGTGAGATAATAAAGGGTAGAGAAATTCAGGTGCTTATTTTTTTTCCAAAAAAAGTAAAACTACCTTTACGTAAGGTAATCTCATTCTTATAAACACAGAAAGAACTGTTCTCATAGTGATGCTGTAAAAAAGGTAGGGACGCATTTGTTAGAGGTGTTCATCATCCTCATGCTGCACAGAATATGGAAACTCAGATTGCTTTACAGTTATTTAAAGGGGGAAGGCAGTAAGGAAAAGGAGATCAAAAATATACTTTTAAGTGTAACGATTAGTATTGCTTTAGTTATTTTATTTTCCCACCATTTCAATAAAAATAATCTTGACCACAGTTCATCACCTTCCAAAAGTACTCAAGGAGAGACTTTAATGACATAACTTGAAATTTGTGTAGAAATTTAGAGTGATGTTACACAGCTTTGAATCGTGAACCTAAGTTTATTTACAAAGATTAGCTGAGTATTGTAATGCATTACAGTAGGTGAGTTGGAACTAGTGTACAGAGGCTCCATTCATCATCTGAAAAGTGTATGTCCTCATTAGTGCTCAAGCAAACTTTTGTTCATATCAGATATCTGTATAAATTTTTAAGTTGCTTTATGGAAAAATTTAAGAATATTTTACTTTGTTTTTTCAGTTAGATTACTCTGAACTTTTAACTCAATATCTTCTCAAATAATTGTAAATGAAATTTTGTTAGCT